AAAGACTTACTGCTGCACTGCACTACAACACCACCAACACACAACCCTCCGGGGGCTTCTTGTTAATTATACACTTGTTGGATGTTGTGAACAGGATAATTTTTTCAGACACAACACCAAACCAGTGGTGTTTAACACCACTTAGCTTGTTCAACGTGACGTCAAGAGTCTCTCGGATTGACTGGACTCTAAAGGTCACGGCTTTATCAACCCTCCGGGGGCTTTTATCGAAAAGCTTTCACACTAAACCTCTAGACAGAGCTGAAGAAAAAAGCCTCATAGCTAAAGTAAAGCACACCTCTGCGGCTCAATCTGACCCGTTATACAGTCTCAACGTCCCAGAGCCTCAAGTCACTCAACACCTTGAAACCAGGCACAATTTTGGTCTCAGATTTTGTCAATCTGAGACCTGGATTTTAGTACAGTTCGAGGTACATCCTGGTCCTGTAAATACTTCATTCACAGAGGTAAGAAAACTCTCTGCTGAACCAGGGGCGTTGGTTTTTGGTATGAAGTGAAAATCTACAGGGTCTATTGTGAAAATTCCTCCAGCGTGTGTCATCCTTTTGCCTGAGGATCTCCCCCCCCCCGAGGAAGCTGCGCCCTCCTGGTCTTCCTCTAAAAACGTCTACGAATGAGCTGCGCTGCTAACGACAGGATTTATGTAATCCCCCGAGCTTCACCAAGACCCTGCTCGTCATTTTCTGGCTGAAGTCTGACCTGTGACGGTGACTAACCCACAAGGAGCAGGAAGAAGAAGAGGAGGGGGAAAAGATGCGATTTGTGCATCTTGATGATGTGCTTTCCCAGCACAGCTGTCCAGTTGTACGCCCACCTCTACTGCTGATGTGTACATGCGTACCTCAAGGCGGGAGGCGAACGCAGAGAGATTATGGAAATGAAGAGGGAGAGACACAGCGAAGCAGCTTCCTCCATGAGAACGATAATAAATTAATTTGCATCCCAACAGGAAAATGTTAAGTGAAGAACAAGCAGCAGAGAAGGTTTGTTTTTGTTGAGTTGTGGCCGGAAAATACAGAAAAATAAGAATCACATCCCGCTGCCACAGTAAGTGATAACATCCTCTACGGGTATTGAAAAATAAATAGAAAGCAAGAAAACAGGAAATCCTTTTTCGTAGAAACAGTGGACGTCATGCTTTTTTGTTGTTTAAAGTGGCGTAGAAATAAAAGATGCATCTTCCTTATAAATCAAAACAGTCCTGAAAAATCCTGCAGCTCTGTATTCACAGCAGGAGAACGAGAACGTCGACTTCAAAAGGAATAGCAGACGTGTCTGGAGAGTATTTACAGAAAATAAACTACAAAAGAATCTTTGATGTAAAATAACGAATGTGCAGCACGGAGGTAACAAATAAAAATAGAATTAATTGTAAAAAGAACAATCTTAAAAACAATAAAATCTTAAAAAATAGAAACATATTTGTCCCTGACCTCTTTCCCCAGATGCTGGTGTAATATAAAAAATAGTCACATGTCCCTCAGTCACACAATGCTGAGAGATTAGAGGCAGATGAGCTGTAGAAGTGGGGCCTGAAGGCCACACGTGTGTTATGGTTGTCTGAGGTTGGCCTCTCACAATGGTTCATCTCATTTACCAATTTATTTACTGGTTGGCGTTTCAACAGAGACTCTACTGTTTATCTGTGACTTCAAAAGTTCACAACAGACGAGTGGAAGAGGAGAACTCAATCCTCGTTCTTCCACTTGGTTTACACAAACATATATGGGGTCAGAGGTCAGCGTGGTGGTCTTGTGACCAGGCGGAAGGTATCCTGAGACGGTGCTGCTGTACGTAGACCCTGAGGTAACGAAAACACAACGAATCTTATTCAGGTCATAAAAAAAACAAAAAAAAAAAAAACATACTTATTAATATTATATTCCATTTCAGCCAATAGATTGCGATCTTCAGCGGTAGTTTTGGCGTCTGGTCTATTTCCTCTGCAAGTTAATCTTCAAAGTAAAACACATTTACAAGCTATTAATAACAATATCATTTATATAATATTTATGGTAATGATTTGATTCTAATAAAAGACTAAATTTGAATCCCACACATGCCAACACTTTTTACATTCCTTAACCTCTTCCCGTTTTTCTTGAGCTTCAATTCCCTCCAATTATTACCTCCTCAACATGATGTAACTTCAGCCACCAGATTTATGAGAAATAATAGAGTATCTCCTGTTGGTGGTTGAGGTTTTTAAATCACGTATTTATTCCACATAACTGTCAGTTGCACCTAAACCGAGAGATGATCGCTTGTTAAGCGGACATCCACTCCACCAGACTCCACCACTCTCAGCTCAACATGCAGATTAATATGAGCTACAGGAATAAAGGACATAAACTTTCATATCAGACTCCACATCCAGCAGCAGCCACACAGCCTCAAACAGAGCGACATATCACTGACTTTAAAAACGTGATTATGAGCACTGTGTTCATAAGGTACAGTACGTGTCTGCAGGAACAGAGTACAGTACAGCAGCAGCAGACGGGGAATAACTGGAATCTGTTATCGGTGACGCGTCCCGACCGCGTTTCTAATTCAGGACTCTGTTGTAAGGAAGCGGCCTCCTGAGGTGTACTGCGGGTGTAGAAGCAGCACACTGGGACTTTATGAGGAGGTGAGAGATGAATGTGAAGTGAACGTGTGAAACTGAAAAAGAAAAACGGACCGTGTGCCGGATCAGTCACTGGGTCACGGATAAATACAGTGAGACTGTAAAATAAACTATGACAAGAGCTGAAAGTACCTTCTGTCTGTTTCAAACGAGTGGCACTTGTTGATGCACGGATCGGATCGGCACAAATACACCGATGCAAACTGCCGATCATTGATGATCCATATTATCAGATAGTGATCCGTACAGTTGGTCTACAAGACTCCAGACTTTATTTTAAACGCTCTGAAGTCGGTAAACCATCCAAAATGTTATAATTTTACTTTGTTATAGTAATATATAGTAACTTTTCTCTATAAAACACATTCATTTGCAAATACATTTTGTTGCTTTAAAGTTGCAACCACAGCATTTACCAAAAACAGTTTCTGTAATAAAGCAGTCGTAGCTGTCCAGGAAGAGTTCCTGCTGTGATGTTCAGAAAAGGAAAATAAGACGTTGATGCTCTTGAGGAACCGTGGATCTTTCCAACAATTTATTAACAGAGCTGATGTTATTTGGGTATTTGATTCTTCATCAAACAGTGTGTACTTCTACTGATATCAACAGTACCTCTGTGTGTCTATGAGGGTGGAGGTCAGGTGTGCTCCTACAAATGTAGATGTTTGCATAAGGACAGCGAGTGTAAGTGGGGCATGAAGACTCTCTCACACACACACAGCTCAGGGCTCCTGGTTATAAGCCCCGCCCTGAGAAAGGAACCAGGAAGTGGTTTTCGATTCAAACTCTTTACAAAGATGACGGCTCTGTCTGGTTTCTGTGTGGCAGCATTCCTGCTGTCAATGCCAGTGTGAAGCATGAAGGTATCTCTTTGTGTATTACTACGCCCAAGTGCATACCAAGCATCGCCCAATTATGTACAACACACTGCTAATTAATACACCGGCATTTCTTAACTAACAAGTCAGACAATAGAGTATCATGCCATCGCTCGCTAACCCCGCTAGCACCACTCATAGACTAGTCAATGGCACGGCTTGCTAACCCCGCTAGCATCGCTCACACTGTTTGGATGTTTAGGACGTTGAAACAGACGTGCCGAGGGAAACAGAAAATAAAGGCGTATCTTAAAGATGATGAAACGTATCAATGTTTGATCAGTGAATCCATACAACGAGCTTCCAAGGCTACATGTGCATGTAGTGTGTCTGATATGAACATATAAAGATGAATATTTTCTCTACATCAGTGACACAGACAGCAGCACTGCCCTGTGTGATCCTGATGATGATCTACTGTCTAGGCACGTAGCTGACAGGCATGGAAACAACAACAGCAGCACTCAGACAGAGCTAGATTCTAAAAACAACTAGCAAGGCTGGAAAATAACTGGCTCAGGTTCAGCAGCTCTGATCACCGCTGCACCAGTTTCACAAGAACCTCTGGGTTCAAAACGTTACGATGGCGTCTCTGTGCAGAGCTCCACAGACACAACACACTCTCTGAACGTGGTTCACGTGTTAAAAGACACGGGTAAAGGTGATAATAATTCACTGCAGAATAAAAACATATATATTGGCCCTCATAGACGTACAAAGTCACATCGAGCAGCTTGTTTGAACCCAAAGAATGATCCTTAAGTCTCTAAAGAAATATTTCAGGCTGAATTTCATGGAAATTTTTGTAAAATTATGCAAAAGATACGCAGAATATTTGACATGCAACAAAAGGTGATTTGAGGGGATTTCATATTTGGGATTCTTGGGACTTTATTCTTCATGTGGTTGTCCAAGGACGAAGCTCACTTCAGTTCACACCTGCTTACAGGTGCTCTATTGAAAAAGGCTCGTCTACTAACAACAGTGATTCAACACTGAGCCGTCAGTCATCCATCATTTGAATTCCTCTGCTCAGCTTTCTCACAACGTACTGGAGCAACCCCGTCCCGCGGGTCGGGGTTGCTCCTTTTATATCTGAACTGCTCTCTGATCTGTTGTATTGCCTTGTTGACCTAAATCGGCAAACCTGGGTTATTGTTGCTCTACCTCTACTCACTGAAGAATAAACGCAGAGTCCTGTGTGCTGAAAAAAAAAAATGCATGCGCTTTACGGTGACTTTGTGAGGCAGTGAATGCACCACGGATGAACAGAACCATCGATATCTGTTCTACGAGGTAGTTTAAGATCAACTTTAATTTGTATGTGTGCCATAATCAACGGAATGTGATTACTTTTACAGCTACTCAATGTTAGTGTTAGGATGGGTTGTCTCCTCTTCCGCCTCTCTCTCTCTCTCTCTCTCACTCACACTCACACTCACACTCACACTCACACTCTCACACTCTCTTACCCTTGAGCAGTGGTAAGGGCGTGAGCTCGATGGCTTTGCCCTGAGAGCGGAACTGGGACGAGCTCTGCGACCGCTTCTGCTTGGCCTTCCTGACAGACTTCCGTGAAAATCCGTCCACTTTGTCCACAGATGGAGACGTGGTGGCTGCCGAGGACATAGCCCTGCTGGGAGAAACACACGATCACATTAGACATGTGTCACGAGAGCGCTCTGTTCACTGAGGGCAGAGGGGTTAACCACAGAGTACTGACAACTTTACACAACTACAATTGGACTTCAATCCATTTTATGAAGTCAGATACATATAAAACAGGTTGTATTCATGTAAAGAAACAGATGCAAGCTTGCATTTAACCCTTGAGCTTGAAAGAAAAGGAACTCAATTTTCAAAGAGCCCCAAAGTGTTCGATATTAAACAAATTATGACTAAAAAGAATCGATGAATTAACCAATAATAAGTGAAATTATTTAATTCATTCTTAAAAATGGTATTTCAACATTTTTATTTTCATAACAAGAGGGTTTTATTTGGAGTTATTTCTTATTATAGACATTTTTATTTCAATATTTTTAAATTATTATTAAATTTATAACATTTTTCAGCCAATCGCATAAGCTCGAGTTTCTATAATTGGACATAATTTTACAATCTTACTGTATTCATTAATATGATTATTCCACATTGTTCTATGGGTCCATGGGTATGCAGATTAAAAAATATTTTGTTATTGTTGATCAAATCACACATGATCCATGATCCACATGATATTTTTGGTCGTGAGTTCATGGAAGCAAAAAGTAAACAAACATCCCACTGACTCCATCAGTCCACCGTCCTCCAGCTCTTTATTAGTCTCACAACAAACCAGCGCAGCCACAGCAGACTGCCTCATTTCCCCAGCATGGGGCTCCATTTAGTTACAGTACACAAAACACACCACCTTCAACCCACAACAATGGCGCTTCGGCTGCGAGGCGTCGCCACAGCGGGAGGAAGCCGAGGAAACGTCCGCTGGCTGAGTGTTCGCTGCTGATTATGTCTAAAAGAAAAATAAAACTTCAAACAAAACCTTAGCAGAAGTCACACTAATCAACACCAATCTACATTTTATCAACCGCACCCTGAAGGCTTATCTGTCAGAAGACCTATTCTCTCACTCTTTGTGTCTTTAACTTCCACATAAATGGAGACACTGATGTCCACAACAACTCAGCCGGATGAAACAAATGAGAAACTCCAGCAGGAATCGTTACGTAATAATAAAAGACGTGAATGGGACGCGCCGCAGGCCGTACTCTGCATCTCTAAAGCTCTCTCTCTCAAAGTCACACATGCAGCCGTACAGTATGTCCAACAGAGTGGATGGGGACACACACACACACACACACACACACACACACGAAGCCTTTTACAAGCCGTCTGAGGCTGCACAGCTGATCCATCATCATGTAGAGGACTCTGCAGTATTAAATGAATGTGATTAATGTTTGCAGAGTAGCATCACGTCCATCTGTGTGGTTACCGACTGAACCAGGGTGTCGATGCTGTGAGAGGACGATCAATCAAAGCTGACAACTGTGACTAAGGAGAGTTGCCTTAACCGACCAGTGACAAACATTAGAATAAGACAATGCCCCGAATTCACTGAAACGTGCTGCTGATTTAACTTCTTTGACATAAACATCGTTTAATAAAGTGGTCACTACATGATGGATTTAAACAATCGCCTCACTCAAACACACCACCGTTGCTGTTTGATGCATTCTCACAGAGCTTAACATGCCTGATATTACACTTGTACTGAATGAGAATCTCTATTTTCAGGCGATGCAGGGCGCCTCTACTAGAAAACAGGAAGTCTTATATTATAGCTGAGACTTATAATGCGCCTGTACTTTTTAATAATAAAATAATAAGATGGAGGCTCTGTAATCTGCACCAAAACGGCCACAACTCCATTCCTCCAACAAACGCATCAGTTTTATCTCCTTTTGTTCTAGCCTTCACAATAAAAGCCCCTGAAACAAATTACTGCTTCATAGAAGGGAACTTAAAGTCTTCACTAAGCAACGCAACCAAAATTATTAATGCCAACCTGTCTGGAGCTGCAACAATTAGTTGCAGACATCATTTGAATAAATTATTAAATAATTATTAACACCAGCTGGATTCAGCTCCTCATAAAAGGTGAGGATTTGCTGTTTTGTATAATTATAAATTAAATATCTTGCATAGTTGTAAAAGAAAATCAATACAAACATGTCACCATTGGGATCCAGGGAATTCTTCATATTATTATCTGATATTTTATGTATAAATATTTGTTGGTCGAAGCCCTAAACATGTCTAAAGTTTGATATTAACTAGAGCTCAGGGGATTCACCACTACAACCTACAGACACATTCACAGATGACAAAACCCATTACATGCAGACGACAAGAGTCATCCGTCACACCCGCTCATTGTCTCCTCCCATGAGCACACAGCTGCTAATGATCTCTGTGAATGAATGCCTTCTGTTGAGCATCATCACGGTGGGAAAACACCTCCAGCTGAACACTGATCTGTCTCATCTTGGCTGCTAATTCACCATTAGTCTGTCAGTCCTGCTGCGTTGTAAAATTTAATTAATTGTACATTTGCTTCCCTAGTTGACAGTTTTGCCTTTCAAACTTTGGCACAGGGATATTCAAATGCTATACAAAGCATCTCAAGCCTGAGTGAAAACACAGCAACAAACTGTGAATGAGACCTTCGAGAAGTGTTCTCACAAAGACCAGATGAAGCAGGACAAGATCCTCTGAGAACTGCCTTAGTCTGAGTCTCTCAGTACTCTCATCACTAACAATGGATACTTGAAGAGCTGTCAATGATTTGTAATGCTTCCGCCACCTGTAGAAAAACTACAATCATTCTCCCTCAGAAAAATCTTTAAATAGGTAAAAACTGGAGCTGTGCTTACCTGTGCAAAGGAGCACTGGAATCCCCATTAATAACCATCAGTCCCTCTCTCTCTTTCTCTCTCTCTCTGTGTCTCTGACTAGACGGCTAATGGCGAAAAACACTCCAGTGCAACCACAACACACGAGGGGGAGCAAGACGACGGCGGCCGGTCAGGCGTACGGCAGCCAGAGCCGTTCCTCTCTTACATAAGAGACCAGATGACATCCAAACAGGCTTTAGGGAGGGTGGGATTAAAGAACAAGGAGGAAGGAGAGAGGAGGGGGCAACAGAAAAGGGAGGAAGAGGAGGGGAGGGAGCTGCTGTTTCAACAGGAAGTTAACAAAAAGGCAGCGTTGAGGCAGAGCGAAAGTAAGGAATAAACGCGTAGCGGAACACACACACATCAAAGATAAAGAAATATATAAAAAGCTCTAGTCTCTAGTCTGTGGTCCAAAGCTAACAGACAAACTGTACCTCTGAATACTTCATGTACACTAAACTCGTGTGAGTTCTAGGGACACAAATGTAAAGAGGAACAAGCAGGTAGAGGAATTTAATCTGATTTCACACCTTTAACTTCTACCTTCAACTCCATGGAGACAATATTCAAGCTACAGCGCGACATGTATGCTTCTATATAGTCTAATATAAAGTAGAATATTATCATCTGCTGAGACACACTTTGAGGACTTTCCTCCAACTAACGATCATCAGTTCCCAGTCTTTGGTGACGCTTTCAAACACGTAACACAACAGCATTTATAACGACTAAACACAAGAAACTGAAAGAAATGTTCTTAAAATAATATATGAAGTTTAAGACTTGTGCATAATAAGGAGGACAGGTTTGATTTGACCACTGATATTATTAAGGACAAATAAAAGATTATTGTTATTATCAATTACTCTACACAGATTAATTTCTAGAGCTATAAAACTGTGCACACGTAACAGATTAATATTCAATGTTGGTAATTACAAAGGTGAAGCTACAAAGCAGCATCCTGCATGACAAACGCAGGAAACGTCCTGAGAAAGACTAAATCTTTGCAGCCAGAACAAACTCCAGCAGCCAGCATCAAGCCCATCATAGCAACACATTGTTTACACACAACAAAGAGCTTATTTTACATATCAGTTTCCTAGAGTAGCCGATAAATGGATGAGTGGTCCCAGCACTAATTATATCAGTACGAATCGCCGATGTGTTATTTAAAGATTCTTCTACTACTCACTTCTTCTTCAGAAAGTCTCCTGATGCCATTACGGACTGAATGCTGCAATCTGACAGCAACTTCTAGATCGGTATGATTCACTCATGAGATAATTACACTGTTCACACAGTCAAGAAGAAATGGACTCAGCAACTTTCTCTCTCTCTCTCTCACTCACACACACACACACACACACACACACACACACACACACACACAGAGCTGATAAGAGTGAGGGAGTAACTACACCAGCAACCATCATAAACACAGGAGACTTTGGATTCAAGAACCTTGTAGATGAACAACCAGCATGACAGTACCAAACCTAGGAGTAGACTCACCCACCAACTGCAAATACCATCACATGTAATGCATAAAACCACACCTGGACTCTGGCATGCTGACAGGGCAGAGGACAGGTAGAAATAAAAATAAAAGTCAGTGTTGGAAAGTTACTCTACTCAAGTACTGCACTTAAGTATAATTCATGGTACTTGTATTTCACCTAAGTATTTACCTTTTTTTGCTGCTAAATACTTCAGAAGTAAATATTATACTTTTACTGCTTTATATGTGTTGTATTACTTTAATTACTTTGCAGATTCAACAAAATATAAGCAACAAATATATGATAATAATTATGTGTTCAAATTAAATTAGGAAGGAAATCCACAAGGTAGTAAAGCATTATATATAAAAAAGTATATATTATCTCCACCGTTACCGGCTGCAACATTAAAGTGATGTAAACATGAACGCATGAATAATTATAATCCAATGACACATTGTTCTGCAAGACATTCTGCATGATGAGAACTTTTTGTATTTTAAGTATATTTTGATGCTAATACTTTTGGACGAAAGTGACATTTTGAATGCAGAACTTTCACCTGTAACAGAGTATTTCTACACTGAGGTTTTTCTACTTTTACCTAAACTCTGAGTACTTCTTCCTCATCTTCATCTCTTCATATCTCTCATTCATCACCACGTTTCTACGTCTCATCATCATGTCACTACAATATGCCTCACTATCATGTCACTACAATATGCCTCACTCCTCATCATCATCACCATGTTTCTAACTCTCATCATCATCATGTCACCAGTGTCATTAGTGGTGATGATCTCTCTCTCTGACTGGTTTTACATCCCAGTAGACAAGATGTTGATACTGCGTTGTTTTTGCTAGTACAAACTACAAAACGTGACATATTTAGAGTTTGTCAAGACATCGTTATCTTGGTGCAAAGCCAGTCAAACTTCATATCGGATTATCACCACACATTTGACCTTTGGCTTCACTTGACAGGAAAAAAGCTAAACCTGTCTCAGGACACATTCACATGAACCCACGAGGATTATAAACATCAGCATTGTTTTTACTTTATAGCAACAAAAAAAAAAAATAACTGCCCAGCTCAACCCTGGGAAAAAACAGAAACTGTAACTCTGAATACTTCATGTACACTAAACTCGTGTGATTTCTAGGGACACAAATGTAAAGATGAACAAGCAGGTAGAGGAATTTAATCTGACTTCACACTGCAACCTTTAACTCCGTGGAGACAATATTCAAGCTACAGCACATGTATGCTTCCATAGAGTCTAATAAATGAAGAATAGTATCATCTACTGAGACACACTTTGAGGACTTGTGAAAACATGTCCTGCAACTAATAATCATCAGTTCCCACAGTCTTTGGTGACGCTTTTAAACGTCTTGTTTTGTCCAACCAACAGTCCATAACCAGAGATATTACTTAACATAACAGCATTTATGACTAAACACAAGAAACTGAAAGAAATGTTCTTAAAATAATATATGAAGTTCAAGACTTGTGCATAATAATGAGGACAGGTTTGATTTAAACATAATAAAGATTATATATCAATTCACAGAGTGATTTGATGTTAGTTATTTTAACATAATAAAGATTATATACATTCACAGAGTGATTTGATGTTACTTATTCATTGTTCCCAGCTGTAGAAACGTTATGCCATCAGCGACATGAGGTCAAAAATGAAGCCGTTTAGGAGGAGCCATGTTGGGGCCTGGCAGCAGCAGAATATTCAAAACTTGACAGTTAGCTAGCTAGCTAGCAGGCTAACGTTAGCTGCCCGATTAACCGCTACAAAGCGTCTGAATTTAACGCTTAAATCGTTTAGCTAGTTGTCTCTTCAGAGTACACAAAGCATTTTAATACAACTAACTTTACAACAATGCAGCCTTTGTTATGAAAGCTGTCCAGGTTTATATTTCAGAAAACGGCATTTTTTTAACATTAATGCTAACGGCTATCGCGGGTTAGCTCAAGTTGAACATGTAGCTAGCCTTTAGCTTGTTAGCTAGCCTTAGCTTGTTAGCTAGCCGCTTGTCAGCTAGCCTTAGCTTGTTAGCCTTAGCTTGTTAGCTTTCAGTGCATTCTTGCCAACACAATATATTAAAAACATTGTTTACATTGTGTTGCTAATAAAGTAACGTTACCTGGGCGGACTTGGGCGATCACCCATCATCTCCCAGATGTAAATACAGAGAAGAGTCGGTGCAGTGCTAATGCTAATGCTAACTGACAGACAGACTTTTTGGGTTGTCCCGAGTCCCGACCCCCGTGAGCACCGACAAGCTGCAGCCGACCGAGAGAGTGGCTGTTAGCTTCTCCAATCGAAGTACTTTACCTTGATCCTTATGTGGTTTCGCAACGGTAGATAGACGGCTTGCAGAGGAGTTATCCTATGTTTTTCTACCTAATAAACCTCCAGCTCGGTGTGCAAAACAAGCCTTTTTTTACCCCCAAAACAGCCGGAAAATCTGGCCCTGAAACAGCCAAAACCCACGAGTACCTTTTTTTTCTCTCTCCTTCCAACGGAATAATCCTCAAACTCCCATTAATAACAAAACACAGCTATATATATATAAAACGATTAAGTTAACGCAATTACATTCCTGTTCCTGATTCAATTACTTGTCTTCCCCAAAACCTCAGGATTATTTTTGGTGTTTCTCCTTTAGCTCGTTTATGATTCGGGGCTGTTCTTTTTCACCCTATTGTCAACACACATAACAGAAAACATGCTAGACGCGTTAAAACTCGACGTACGACGGCGATTGGATGTAAGGGAGCGGCGTCGCAGTGCTGTTATTGGACGAGAGGAGGTGTCAATCAAAACATCTTTTGAATCTCGTCGGTTAGGTTGAGGAGGAGAAGGGACAAGGAAAAAGATATATCGGAGGCTGAAAAGGAAGTGTGTGTCTTCCCCGCACAGCGTGCAGGAATGAGGCTAAACCAGTCCGAGGCCCAGCCCTTTGCTTCTGCACTTTTTTATTATTTACGGCGCATTTGAACCACCTTTTACTGCACATTTTTATTTTATTTTATTTACAGCCCGCTGCAGCCCGGAAGCAGCGTTAAGGAAGAGTGGATCTCTGTGCAAGCTTCCGAGATTAGAGAGAGTGAGGGATGTGTTAGCAGGAAGAAGAGTTGCATAACTATAATATATAGGTCTACTATGAATATTAGCCGAGCACGTCTATGGGCGTGCGTGTAGGGACGTAAAGGGGTGGCTCAGTGTCTGCAAATTCATTCATTTTCTATATTTTCTGTTTCAAGAAAAGTTAAGAAAAAATTCTGCAGCCTTTCTAGAAAAGAAAAATAGAAATATAGCCTACTATAATCAACTATACTACACTCAACTGCTGTGAAAAACATGAAAATAATATAATTTTTTGCTAAAAAAATGCATTATTTTGTCTGCTAGGAAGGGTTTAATATAATATTGGTTACTTGCTTTAAAAAATCATAAAAATGCATCTTTTCCAGAAGAATCTCCTATAAAATGAGCTCCTCTGTTCATGTAATATCATTTAATAATGTATTGACTCTCACCACCATGTAAATGTGTTTTGTTTCATCATTTTTAAACTTTGATTTATAAAAAAAAATCCCTAAATCACCCTAAATAATCACTAAACATCTTCAATGTTTCTAGTGTGAGTAAAGATTTGTGCTTCGACCACTGACACAGAAACACAGACGCACACTCGCACTGCCAATCATGTTATTCCACTCTTTGCTATTTGAGAGCGAAAGCTGCTCCCTCAGCGGGATCCTGCTGAGCCGGGCGGCTCTGGTGACTTCCAGGATGTGATGCAGTGACGACAGCTTTAAAGTGGAAATATTACAACCAGAAAAATGTCACAATAATGGACATCCTGACAAATTAAATATCTTAATTTAAAAAATGAAAATGTGAGAGAAACCTGAGCTATGTCCCAATTTCATAGTAAGATTCAGAGTATATATATATAAATATATACTTTCGTTATAGAAGTCACAACAAGATGTGTAACAACAGTCGTCTCTCCACACTAAATCACGCTTCGCTCAAAAATCAGAGGAATTTAGAGTCATGTAACTTTTCCAGTGTGAACATAACTTCACAGACTTCAACAGCAATAATTAATAACAAACTAAGAAACGGACCAAGAGGATCAGAACTTGGAGAACATCTTTTTTAACTTTTATTATTGTATATCTAAGGAAAGTTAAAGTCTTTAAAATTATTTGAAGTTCATCCCAAAAGAGTTAAGGCATTGCAACTGAAATTTAAATCAATGGAATATATTTTGTTACTTGAGTGAACATACTTATGTACTTAAAACTGGTATTCAGTGTGGAAAGAAGACACATGGCTGCTTCACTGAGTGGAAGACCTGATTTACTCCCTTTATTAATATACAATCTGTATCTGGATATACTTTTTGTATCAGGAAAATGGTTCTTTAATCCAAGGTGTGAATGCAAACGTCAGTGGATCAGATGTCACTGTGTGAATAACAATCATGATCGCGTTAACACCAGATGTAAAGTTATGCCGTCACATTGTGTTTCTGTTTAATACAATTTGAAAGGACATCATGTCTTGTTTCTGATGCAGGTAATAAATAAATATTGATCAGAGAAATCACAGACTGTAAACTTAACATACAAAATATAGATTTAAAACACACTTATACAATAATAAGTGTTTCTATTGGCTGATCGAGAACATCCGTCTGGGAGTCTACAGGTCACACCGAAAGAGGAAATACACTCATGAATTCGTCTGCCGGAGTCAGGCGGGAACCTCCGGTTCTGAAGACTGAAGTCAAAGCTTCATGTGTTAAAGCTGCATTCTCTCTAGTGACCAGCAGGGGGCGACTCCTCTGGTTGTATAGAAGTCTATGAGAAAATGACTCTACTTCTCTCTTGATTTATTACCTCAGTAAACATTGTAAACATGAGTTTATGGTCTCAATCTCTAGTTTCAAGTCTTCTTCAATACAGCATGATGTTCATTTAGTAACTTATGGTCCATTTAGAGTCAAACAGACCATAAAGCAGGGGATGCTTTAGGGCGGGGCTACATAGTGATTGACAGGTCGCTACCAGAGACGTATACAGCGTCTCTACGTCACTCCTCCTCAGTCCTAATATGGTCACTTCCTGTTCACTGGTTGCAAAACACCAAGATGGCGACGGCCAAAATGCTGAACTCAAGGGTTCCAAACATGAGTGACGTCACGATGACTACGTCCACTTCTTATAAACAGTCTGTGGTAACGAATGAGGAGGGAAATGTAACGTGACCAAACCTTTAGTTACTGTAAGAACACAATATTTGTTTACGTGTAAAACAGAAGTGTGAATGTTTTCTCTCAGAAACAGAAAGTGAGCAGCCATCAGTTAGTGCGATTCAGTATTTTGAGTTTCCTTCTTTTCTCTCCGGTAGCTGTGTTTTTTATGCGGTCTGGATTTGAGTCTCAAAGTGGTCTTGCTCTTCATGGACTCCCTTTTCCCCGTCCTGAGCTCCCCCCCTCCTGGTTTCCACAGCAGCAGCTGAGCGTCCTCCCCCCCTGTGACGAGAGCCTCCCCCGCCGCGTCCCACAGGAAGCAGCGCACCGTGGAAGCGTGGCCTCCCTCGAGCGTCCTCAGCAGACGAAGCCCCCCGCCGTCGCACTCCATCAGGTGGAGATCCCCGCCGTTCATCCCGCCGACCACCAGCAGCTTCTGGGCCTCCTCCAGCCACCGGCCCCCCACCAGGTAATCCACGGCCCCGCCGTCGGCCATCAGCGGCAGGCCGCGAGCGTCCGAGGTGCTGAAGACGGTGAGCGGCTCGTCCGTGTCCAGCTTGCCCAGATCCCACAGGTGCAGCCCCTCATCGTGGCTCAGGCACAGCAGCTGGGTGTAGTCGGCTCCGGACCAGCAGACCGAACCGGCGGACGAGTCGCTGTTGCAGGTGAGCAGCAGCGCCTCCTCCTCCGCCCCCCGGCTCAGGTCAAAGACATTCACCAGGCCGTCCGTGGAGCCGGACGCCAGGCGGTCGTTCTCCCGAGGGTGGAAGCGCACCTGTGTGATGTCATCGCTGTGCGACTCGGAGTACACCCCGAGGAGCCCGCCGCCGGGTTTCCTGACGTCCCAGAAAACCAGGAAGCTGTCTTCTTTGTTGACCTGCTCGGTGCCGCCGCACAGCAGCGTGTCACCGCAGCTCAGGTCGAAGCTACAGTAGCTGTGCGACGGGTCGCTTTTAAACACCTGGGCTGCCTGTGTACCGGGACGACGGACGTCCCACCCCCGGACCGTCCCGTCAGCGGAACCAGAGTAGAGGAGGTCAGGGGAGGCGTGGGAGAAGACAACCCCACAAAGAGGCCCGCTGTGGCCCCGATACTCCCCCACCAGGTTCAGGGTGTCCTTGTTGTGGAGGTGGATGGTGAAATTGGAGCAGGACAAGGCCAGCAGGCCGGCTGGCTGCAGGGCGACGTCCAGCAGGTAGGTGGGCTCCTCTGGGCGACACCGCTGAGCGACGGACAGACCTTTGAGCTTCTCCTCCAAACCCTCCATGGCAGCTCAGCGAAGAGTCAACGCTGCTGAACAGGAAGAAGAAAATCACAAATTTAATGTTGCCTTTGAGAAGTTTACATTTGGTCCATTAAATCTCTCTGAAAAACAACGACATGCAATAACGTGTCGTTTTCTGGTTGTGACATATGCCGAATTAGGCACAGCAGTATACTCATTTGTCGGGTTTTAATCATATTAAATTTGATTTTCGTTTTTGCCATAAAAGAACAGAAACAAAAAATATACATTATTTTAAATGAAGTCTGGCGTTGGTTTCTTCACCTTTGAGAGATTCGAGCAGACACGGGTCACAATCACCGTTTTAATCCGTTATTACGTGTATTATCAGCTGTTATTAATGTGTTATGTGTTTATAAGTTCAACCTACCTTCTTGCCAGAAATGTCCACAACCGTTGAAATAAAAACAACCGCTAACTTGTATCGGAGTATAATAGAATATAATAAACTATTTTAACGTCAACATTAACTGAATAAAGTCGTAAAAAGCACCGGTAATGTCATCACGCTACTTCAGCCGAAAACAAGCATGGTGGAAATACTCTGTGTCACAATAATTACAGCCGGGTAGGAACCGTTCCTCAATCAAAGTTTCCGCTTGGTGTTAAAAAAACAAGTATTCAGAAATCTTAAATATTGTTTATTGAATATTAGTCAAATTAAAGACACGTTAAGAAAAATAAGAAACTGACCTATCAGAAAACATTGTGGCCCGCTGTCTTACCAAATGTTGTTTAAATTATTATTATTATTCAAGATTATTCACTTTATCACATTTCAGCATCCGTACACCATATGAATGCATAAATATATAATATATAATACACATGCATTTATGGCCATTGCTTATTTTATTTGTGTAAATATATATATAAAATGTGGGTTATAAACTTTGTTTCAAAGCAAATATAGAACAGAACAGAACAACATTTCTTTACTGTAAAAATGATGTTCTAATAAACTATCTCTTTGTTTTCATCTTTTCACACTTGTTCTTTCCATTATGATTTAATGACATGATGAAGTCAAACGTAATCCCACTGTTGAGGGATTTTAAAAAGGAAATACTCACTAATTATTTTTTATATTTAGCATTCACCAACAGATAACTGACTCAGGAACTTGTATTTTCTTTTATTGTATCTTTATGGATTTCTTTAAACCCCTCTTAAATATATCTTAAAAGAGTTGAGTTAGTGTAACTCAGTTATTTATTTTTGTTGTTGTCATGATATGAAAATCCAGTTTAACAGCATTTGCACCATTGCGGATAAAACTCTCCGCATGAATCGGATGAATCCATCAATAAATCCAAACTTTATTTCGTTTTATTAAAGAAATCCCATCAGTGTATTTAAACATCATCATGACATCATCAGTCATCCAGCAGGGGGCAGCAGCCGCGTGTGTTCAGTTTTCTGGGTAAATGAGGCCTCAAAGCTTTCCAGCTGACCCAAATCTAAACTAACATAAATAAATTAAATAAAACTTTCCGGTCATTTCAGATTTTGATAAGACACTGAAGAGAAGAAGAGGAATGTGACTCAGACATTTAGTTTTATTACATGTTGTAATTAAATGTTGATGTTCAAACCTTTTACATGTCTGCTTAGAACTCATTTTAGTAATATTACTTTGATAATACTAATGTCTGATCCTCTACAGTAACAAAGATTAAACATCAGTAGGCGGAGCTTGAACTGACCAAGGTTGTTTATTTTCTCGTGGATAAAGAAACACGTGATTGTTTAAACTTCCTGTTTAAACAATCATAAGAAAAAGTGAGATCTTATCTCATCAATGGAAGTGTTGACAGCAGGAGTCATTTCTAATAAAACATCGACAGAAGTTTACCCACAATCCTGTGTGCTCTCACTTTAGTTGACACATGAAGAAGAAGAAGAAGGAAAAGAAGAAGAGGACTAAAAAGAAGAAGGCAAATAAGGAGATGAAGGTGAAGAAGAGGAAGTAGATGACGAACAAGTAGACAAAGACAAAGAAGAAGGTGAAGAAAAGGAAGTAGACGAGGAGGAAGAAGGTGATTTTCTTGATGATGCAGCAGCAGTTTGGTCACAGACGGTTCAGAGGTCTGCAATGTAGAAGTATTCAGAGATCTATTACTCAAGTAAAAGTACTAATACCGCAGTGTGGAAATACTGCATTCAAATCTGACTTAAATAAAAGTACAAAACTATTTTCACCAACATATATTTAAGGTACTAAAAGTAAAAGTACTCTTATTATGTTTACCATCAGTTAAAACATGTTAGTGTTTAATATTTTATGACCAAATATTTGCAGAACTAAAGACAATATTATTAATACTTTGTGTTTAATGAGATTAATGCTCCATGCTCTACCATGAACATTTACACATTGTATATATTCAGTGATACTATATCAGCTCTACGTGTACTGATAGTTCAGAAAACCAAAGAGCAGCAAGTACTTTACTATATTTCAAGTTTTGTTTTTTTATTATTTCAGTGAATTTCACACAATCAGACAGAAATAGATCTTCATTTTGACTCAAAGATCAAATCCAACAATAAAATCTGTAGAAATATAAAAAGAAACGTTTAAACTGCATAAATGATCGTCTGATGTCACGACTGAAACTGGCTTCATATTGAAAACAGAGAAATAAGATTCTAAAAACTATCTCAAAGTTTAATTTATCAACTTGTTTTGATTTATTCAGACAAACAGACAAAACTCAGCGACTCATTCAGACAGTCAGTGAACGTAAACGTGAACAAAAGCTTGAAATCAAATATATTTAAATTTATTTAACGTTGACATAAAAGATTCAACTACAGTGACTCACTTTTTAATTTGAATGCAGGAAGAAATGTGAGAAACTAAAACATTTTGTTTCTTCCACATTAAATTTAAAAAAAACGACAGGAAAGAAAGAAAAGTCGAGACCAGAGTTTTAACACAAAAATATTCCAGAACAATAATAACAATAACAATAACAATAATAATAATAATAATAAAGGCACTAAAGGGGAGAGAGGAGCAGCTACAGTTCAACCACTTTTTATATTTGGTCTCTGAGATCCACGTTTTAAAGAAATGAAGAAACAAACATGTTTATGTTTTTTGGAGTTTTTTTAAATAATAATAATAATTTATGTATTTACTAATAAACTTCCTGGTTTTGTTCGTGGGTAGAGAAGACGTCCGGGTGTAACCAAAAAAATGGGAAACAATATATAACAAAGTTTCAAGGTGCTTTTGTGATTATACCAAATAATAATTAAAATAAAATAATTTTACTCCTTGGTTTGCAATCATTTTCGGCATTATAGCAAATAAATAAATTTGTTACTTCAACAAATAAAATTCAAGATCAAGCCAAATCACACACAATAAAAAGCGGATTTTACCAAATTTGGTAAATAACAAATTTTCGGAATTATCAAATATTCTGGGATTCTACAAAAACAATGTAAAAAGAATGTGGTATTCCAGCGAAACACGTTTCAGAGTTTGCAAAACAAAACCTCTGGATGTAATTTTGGTAAATTATTATTATTATCATCACATTGTTGCCTTTTAAGTTTTCTGTTTATGTGTCAGATTTGGTTAATTTGGATTATTATAATAAGATTAATTGTTACTCCGATCTTCGCTCTCTGAAGCAGCTTTGACTCGATGAAACAAACGTCAAATAAAGAAATAACAAACGGATGTGACGGAACTCCGACACAGGAATCAGTTTGTGTGTTTGTTGATGAATCAAAAACAAAAACAAACTTCCTGTTTCACTTTGTTCAGAGAGGAAACCACGAGGAAGAGGCAACAGGAAGTGAAATGAGACGGGTAGCGAAGACACGCCTCCTTCAAACCGACCAATCACAGCTCAACAAACGCTCAGGTGAAGCTGGTCCATCGCTAAATATGAGTTCAGGAAATAATTTCATTAGATCCAATTTAAAAAATAATACATTTTTACTTAAATACAGTAAAAACAACCGTCACATAAATACTTAGTTACTTTCCACCAAAGAATATTGTGATATTGATTATTTATGAAGGAAAAATTATAAAATATTTACTGGTTCAAGCGTCTGAAATGTGAGGGTTTCCTGCTTTTCTCTTTTCTATCATTGTACATGAAATATTTTGAGGTTTTGAAATGTCGGACAAAAACAAGCTAACGTGACCTTCAGTTCTACGAACAATGAATGAAGTTCTGCTGATGAGTCATCGGCCGATCAAGCAGAAAATAACTCGAATCAATTTTATAGTTTAAATAATCAACAGATTAACCAAAAATAATAGTAATTTAAATATGAAAAACAAAATGTGTGCCTTGAACAGCTTCCTCTTTTTACCAAAAGCTACTGGAATACTTTAGTATTTTACAAACTAAATAACCAGACTTTACCGACATAATAATATTTGACAAATTAAACAGAATGAACCAAATATAAACAAACATTTATCTTGTCTCCTGATCGCTGCTTTAACTTTCGAATCGGTTCCTCACGATCTTTAACGGTTCTTCAGGAAGTTAACGACCTCTGACCTCAGATCAGTGTTTAGGACCAACTTCACCCTCTGGGGGAACACAGTGCATTCTGGGAGCAGTGCATTTATCTTAGGACAGTACCGTACAAACAACAACAACAACATACAAGTCAACATACTGCTAAATTAAGACTCAAGAGGAGCTCGTTTTCTCTGTTCAGAGGTGAAAGGTCACCAGCAGAGAACAGCTGATCTCTAAAAAAAAACAAAGCAGCCCTTGAGCAAGGCACTTCAGACACAGCTGCTGCAGGTGAGAAACACGAGGAGGAACGAAGGAAACATCAGCTCTAGAACAGGAACGCCCACATATGTTATAATATATTATATTATAATGTTAACGCAATGTGAAGAATAAAGTTGTAATATTTCCAGAATAAAATGATAAATATATGAGAAAAAAGATTGTATGTCATTATTTTGAGAAAAAAGTATTACGACTAAGCAAGTCAAGACATGACACATAAAAACACACCATATTACGTTGTTTTAATTCTTTAACTTGATGTTTATTCTCAAATTAATGACCTTTTCCTCAAAACATTACAAACTTTTTTTCTAAATATTTCCACTTCATTCAGGTTCTGCTTCTCCGTCTGGTTCTCTCTCCGATGAGGAAGCTACAAAACTATATTGTGTGAAATATTATATTTTATCTGCCTGAGCTGTTATGAAGTGGATGCCACAAAGAGCATCTCAAACAGGAAGTGGATGCTATGAAGAGCATCTCTAACAGGAAGTGGATGCCACAAAGAGCATCTCGAACAGGAAGTCAGTTTACAGAGTTATAAAAAGAGACAAAAGCTGAGCCTAGTGGATAGATTCCTGTCATCCCATTTAAAAAAACTTCTAAAAAAGTCTGTGTACGTCTTCCTTTAATTGTGGATCATACAGTATGTGCCCGGTCATCGCTTCAGTCTCAGGAAAAACAATCAATCAGACCATTCGTCTGAATACAGACGGAAACAACAGGACACAAAGTGGGGAGAGCCCTTCAGGAGAAAATACACAAGAGTTCAAACACCTCCAAAAGTCATCGGATTCAGTCCAAAAACCTTTTTAACCACAAGTGTGTCCAGGTGACCATCAGGAAAAGCTCTGACACTGGAATGAGGAAGTATAAAATCATATTGCAGACGAGAGGAAGATTAAATAAGAATTATTAAGAAGCTTCCTGACACAGAATCACACAGAGTTCAAACACGGAATTTCAAAAATGTATCTGCAACTATTTTTGATCAAGTAATCATCATTTTTCACTCAGAAAAACTCTCAAAATGTTTCATATCTGTATGTCTTTGGACATTTTTTTAAATAATTTTCTGACATTTCATAGATTAATTAATGATGACAATCACCGTTAGTTGCAGCCCTAATACTTTTAATTGAGTTACTAAACATTTTCAGACATCTAAAAACTTTGTGTGGTTCTTTGTTCTTTGAAAGCACTCATAGAAATGTAAATATTAAGGTTATTGATCTGTAGCGATCAGTGGTGTTGTTTTATAGTCTCTCAGAGGCCAGTGTTTGATCTGAATGAAGCTGGAGGAGGAGGAGGAGGAGGAGGAGGAGATGGAGGATGAGGAGTGGATGTTTGGCTCTGATCCAGCGTGTCCTGGGTTCAGGAGCCGTCTGATTTGAAATAAATCAAAAGATCAAAGAGATATTCACTACAGGTAAAAACCTATAAGTCACCGGATTCCCCGGCTGCTCCTGGTTCAACTAAAAACACCGACAACATGTCAGCATCCAGATCAGCTTTGAGGCTCTAATTCACCTCGGGTCCCAACCCAGGTTCTGGATGTGAAACCTGATCTGAAAACAGCACTATAGGTGCACTGACCGAACAACCAATCAGGAGAGCTAAGTGTAGCTTAAGAGCAGTGGGACCAGAAAGAGCACGTTGAAGCCCACCACCCCGTAGACGATGTATCGGTAGGGCAGCTCCACCTCCATGTGCTGCCGGGCCTTCCTCACGTCGCCGCTGGGTACGCCGAACACCCGGCACACCAGCGGCATGGTGACGGCCTTCATCAGCGCCCGCGTGGCCATCAGCACCAGCACGCCCAGGACCAGCCGCAGCAGGGCCGCGCCCACCAGGCCGGCGCCAAATGCGGGCGTGGCGAAGGGCAGCTGGTCCGGCGTCGGGTCGGGTATCAGGCCCAGGCGGCAGTTGACGTGGGAGGCCAAGGCCACGCCGGCGCCCGTGCCGAGGATCTGGGCGGTGTCGCCCCGCGAGGTGCTCCAGGTGTCCAAGGTGAAGGAGAAGAGGCCCAGGCCAAGGTGGAGGGACACGATGATGAGCGGGGCGAAGCGGCACGTCAGGTTGAAGCCGTCGATCAGGTCCAACGCCGGCAGGAAGAGGACCAGGAAGAGGACGCTGTAGAGGACGCCAACTATGACGTCCTGGAGGAGACAAAACAGAAGCAGAAGGTTACGGTTTTTATCTGACGGATTCATCCAGACTGACTCACTGAGAGTTCAGGGACAGAAGATGATAAACAGTCCGCATACAAACAGAGGTTATGACTTCAGAACTTATATTTATTAAATTACACTTAGGAACAATCTTAAGAGCCAGATTAAAGACATTAATTTGCATAATAATAAACGTGGACTTTTGTTTTTGGGCCTTTTCTCTGTGTGTTTCCTGCTGATGGATAAAGAGGAAGTTGAGGACAGGAAGCAGAGATTAGGAGCTCAACGTGCCAGTGAACTCTGAACTCAAACACAAAGGTCGTCACGGTTCATTTATTGGCCGACAGTCGGCTTCCTGCTCCAACGACGATGTGTGTGTGTACGAAGAGCTTAACTACCCAAAAATATGATGATTCACAGAACATTCTTCTTGCACCAAAAGTTTGACTCCCTATAGTAAAGACACTTTCTGCATTTTCTTGTTTGGCAGGACCTAGTTTTGAAATAGTCAGTATAGTAGTAACGGTTACGTATAGCTGATTCGTCCTGATCCCCCAAACACTCTGTGCAGGTTGGGGTTCATTGGGAGTGGGCACAGTGAGCGGAGGGTGTAAATAAACTCACTGAGGTGTCTTCAGTCTTTACTCTGCTGTGTCTGAACACCGTCTACTCTACCTGGGAGAGAAATCAATGATCCAGAAACCAAAGGTCCTGTTCAGAGTTTAAATATCTATTTGGCTGCTTAAACACACATTGTGGTGCTCTCACAGTCGGTCATTATCCCACGCTGAACCACAAGCTTCATGTCCCAGCAGACTGGTGGGACGTGAAGTACAAGTGAGTACAAAGTTTACTGGTTTTTACTGTCCCAACCTCTTAAAAGGTGAGTCATCAGGGAGATAAGCTGCAGGAAACCCTCCAGAGGGTTTACTGTGATGCATCACCTCCCTGCTGACGCTGCAAACTTCTATTCTCTCTTCTCTAAAACAAAATGGCTGATGTAAAGCGTCCAGGAAGAGGAGCAGGTGGGGCCCTGAAGGAACAGCCACGTTTGTGTTATTAGGTAGAAGCTTTCATCTTAAGGGCTTTACAGTGGAAATGAATGAGAGTGTTTATTGTCAGCGCGTCTGAGTCTGATGTTCATCTGGAAGCTGTAAAGACCGACTGGATCCATCAGAGACCGTTCAGTGACGGTACAGGTTTGAGCTCCAGAAAGTGAACGAGATCAGTTCTTCATCAAGACGTAAACATGAAGTCAAATCAAATGCGTTTATTTATTTGTTCCTTTATTGATTTATGCGTCTCTGTGGCCTAGAGTCCGAAACTCAAACATATTCAGTTTCAGTTATTTATCAGAAGAAAACAAAGAAATAAACACAAAATTGTCGCCAATAATCTTTTCAGCCAATCACAGGGTTCCTAAAGCTTGTTAGATTGAAGACTTTTGTAATGCGACTCGGAGTGAAATTGAACACCAACTTCTTAACCAAAAGTTTATAAAAAGCATGTTTCAGTCCTTTATGATTCTGCTTCATAAAACGTAGAGAGATGAGAGGGAGAACATCTGGAGAGAAACAACCAGAAGAGTTCTGACATCACAAACATCTGCTTTGCTTTTTATCCAAACAACTTTAAACCCTCGAGTTCCACAGCGAGGAACTCAACAACAAAACCTTCAACAGGAAATGTGCAACACGTTGATGCAGCGCTTACAACACAAACACAGAGGGGTTGTTAAATATATTCCTAGTTTAGACTTTAAATGAAAGAAAGAACACTAACAGTGTGAGCAGTCTGCTGAAAGGTCAGCAGATAAACAACTCCGTCAGTAACGAGAGCAGCTTTTTGTCTCGGAGCTCTTCCTGCAGAACAAAGCAGGAGGAAGTCCTTTCATTGGGCGTGATGACTTCCTCAACACATTAATTAAGAGCCCGGCAGGCTTTGTTATCCCTGAAACACAACAGGAGCCTCCAGGACACACACACAAAGCTTTAACACCTCAGTTTCAGACTTCATTGTTTAAAGAAAACAAGCTGCTGTCTGTGGTGATTTATGCTCTGAACCCTTTTACAGTTTCTGTAAAAGAAAGAGACTTCTTAGAGTCATAACTCAGTCATGAAACACATACGATCAGATTCATCGTGACTTAAACTTTGGCAAGGTATATATACCTTATACATACAGGAGGAGAAGGAAGAGGAGGAAGAGAAGGAGGAGGAAGAGGGGGAGGAAAGGGCAGAGAGAGAGGAAGAGGAGGAAGAGAAGAAAGAGGTGGAGGAGGAGGAAAGGGCAGAGAGAGAGGAAGAAGAGAAGGACGAGAAGGGCGAGCATGACGAGGAGGAGGAAAGGGCAGAGAGAGAGGAAGAGGAGGAAGAGAAGGAAGAGGTGGAGGAGGAGGAAAGGGCAGAGAGAGAGGAAGAAGAGAAGGACATGTGGAGAACAAACTGACAGGAAAACATAGTAAAAGTATCTCCTGCGTAGGAAGGAAACATAAAAACACAAACAATCAACTGGAGCGAGTCGTATTTCTAGTGAAGAACGTCACTAAAGTACTTCTGCAGAAACAGAAGAAGTATCCAAATATTTGACCTCCAGTTAAAGTCCCAATGCCACATTGTAGAAAATACTGCATTCAAAACTAGAGAAGTATCAAAAGTAAAAGTACCCATAGTGGCTCCTGTTGGTGTTGTACTCTTATATTATGGTCTCATTGGCTGCATTAATAAGTAACCTGTACTTTAAGGTTGTTGTTTTATATATTTTCAGTTCAAATCTTAATGGTTTGATGTGTTATTAACTGACTAATCGATATTGCATTCAGACTGTATTTGATGGTTGGAGCCATCTTGGTTGTGTTTTTACTTTTCTATGAATATCAGTAAAATACTCTGAAGAACCAGATGTAAAAGTAATATTACTCTTTGGGATTATGAGGACTGTCTCAGTGTAAACCCCATAATCACAGTAATGTTGTTAGTGGTGGGATGTTTGAAGACTGGTAATATTATTTCTGTTGAGGCGGTCACAGATCTGGTGAGTACATAGAACAGCAGGAGGAGACAGATGTGCATGTGGTTCCTGAGGGGGAGGTCTTAGCCCACGACACCACCTGCCACAAAAGAAGCCCTTAAAGAGGACTTCTCTGATGTGGAGTTAACTTCTCCAGTTTGTCTGGGAGGACGGCCAGCGTTCTGTAACGTCTGCCGTCCGTCCGTCAATCCCTCCGACACAGCTGGGACCACAGAGACGAGCCCAACCCCCCAAACAGTGCACGGGGGGAGCTGACGTCATTTCCCAGAGAACGAAATTAACCACCAAAACGAGGTAGACGACACACACATCTGTGGTGATGGTCCCACTACACTTTGACACTGGAATACAAGGAGCACTTTACTTTGAGGGAAGTGGGAAGATGTCTGGTTTAAATGAAACATGACGTCAAGCTGTGGTTGTGTTTTGAAGACACTGTCCAGGGTCCAAGAAGTTTACTTATTACTTTTAGTTGTTGGTGACCTTGTCCCTCACAACCTCATGCAGACCCTGAGAGATATTTTACTGCTGTAGAAGTAAACACGCCCAGTCGGTGGTGTATCATCATGTTTGTCATGACTCTACCTGTGGTGCACATCAGTGATTTCATCTTGCCGTCGGCAAAAAAAACAAAAAAACAATCCGCTAACGTGAGAGTGCGGCGGATAAAAGATGCAGGAGCAAGTTTTTGCAGGCATGAATATCCCTCAATGGTTTATTTCCAGTAAGAGTTTAGAAACGCCGTTTATTGTCTTATGAGAGATGGCAACAGGCCCGAGCATGTCGAGGAGACGATGCAGTCTCCTTCTTGGTTCACACACATTCTACCACAACGGACACACTGCTCTCAAATGAAACGATTTAAAATGTCTTTGAATGAGTTGTGTTTCCAGTAAAACAACATCAACGCTGGCGTGTTAACTGAATGGTAAATGAATCAAAGCACAGAAGACAAAACTGCCTCCTAAGTATCATGCGATTGGTTGCTAACAAGCAATGAAGCATTTAAAAAGGTTACTTATTTTGAACAATGTCTGGCGCAGCGCTCACTCTTCATAAGAAGCACCTGAGTTACGTTACATCACATCCAGCAGACTTCACAGAAACAATGAGGACCTGTTTTAACCCGGTACCCTCTGGTCCGGCTCAGAGAACGACACTAAAAACACTGAACCTGTCTACACATCGTTCACTACCGAGTCCTTTTTAAACAGTCCTGATAACTTTCATAAAGGTAGTACAGGTGGAAGATGGAGAGATTTGGCTTAAAACGCAAAAGAATTAAAGATAGAGATCCAAAAACACTGAAGAAATCATTTCAAACTAAATGCTAAACACTGGACTGGGAAGCAAACAGTTCATTTTATTTGAATTAATCTACAAATTGGTTCCTTCATCATCAACATTTCAGCCAAATTAAGTTCTAAATGTGCAGATAGAAACTATAACAGAATCCTCTCAGCCTCCGATAATAACAACCGCTGCTGGTTGAGAACGAGGAGCAGAGACATCGGCACGATGGTGGTAATCTTCAGAGCTCTCTTTATAATTCTAAAGCAGGTAAAAAACTATTGTTTGGAGGCTTAAGTTCAGATTCCACCTCCTGCTCTGAATCAAAGGGTGGAAAGGTGACCCGACGCCAAATAACACAACAAAGACTGACAGCTGACGTTTTAAAGTCCACCTCCACCCAAACGTGTGTTTTACTTCTTCTTACTTCTCGTGGAAGTGCAGGAAAAGCTGCTAAGTGAACGTGGTGTTGAGATCATTTTGATTCATGAACTGATCGACTATCATGACTGGAACAGAGACTGGAACAGAGTGCACATTCACCACCAGCTGGGCCCGTTGCATGAACCTATTGATCCACCAGTAGATTAAGACAATCAATGAACATGGAGGAGCGCACTAGCGAGCAAAGCTGTGCTGATCAAAAGAAGTGACGGCACTCATGTGATAAGCTACAGAAAATGCACTTTTGTTTTATTAGAGCTGCACAGTTAATCAAAATGTTATCGAAATATCACATTATGGAGGCGTCATATTAACTAAAAGGTGAAATGTTGCCAAAGCACAAATGAAATATTGTGGTGCTGACTTACACTTCATATATCCTACAGACAAAAGAAAAGATCTTTGTGTGGTACAAAGGAGGAGGAAGACGAGGAGCAGGAGGAAGAGGACGAGAAGGAGGAGCACGAGGAGGATGAGGAAAATGAGGAGAAAGAGAAGGAGGAGGACGAGGAGGAGGGCAAGGAGGAAGAGGAGGAGAAAGGGAAGGATAAGGAGATCCCAACAAAACTCACAACTTTATCCTTTTAATGTGTGTTTCAGTGAAAATTAATCACAATATCAGTCTAGTATCGATCATTGTGAACGATGAATTTATTTCACACATTTACAGTTGATTTTGTCCATACTTGTGTTGTTGTGTATGTTTCTACGGTTACACAGGTGAGTGTATCGCTGACATCAGAGCCTGAAAACAGCTTAGGCTGGATTCTGTTTCAAACATGTCGGCTCTCGTGTTCACACGGACAGAAGGACGGAAAAACTGGCACTGCAGGTGGCAGCGGCGACACCATCTGTGTCTGCGAGTGTGTGTGTGTGTGTGTGTGTGTGTGTGTGTGTGTGGACGTACCAGGACTGAGTGCATCCCCATGTAGATCCGGCTGACACAGACCAGCAGACACCAGCAGAGAGCCAAGCTGAGGCCCAGTGAGAACGGGTACTGTGGAGGTGGAAGGACTTTTATTAACACAACACACATCTTAGAGACTAAACTAACGAGGCAAACGACATAAAGAATAACCTAATACATCTTTAACATGAGAGCTGTTCAAACATGGAAAACACACAGTTTTAGAGACCTTAGTGGTGTTTAAAATAACATTTGTTTGACCATCAGCCCAAATAAATCCCAAAGATGTGGAATTAAATTACAATTATACAAATAAATTACAACAATAAGTTAGCAAGATGTTTGATGTTTTAACTTTATAATGACAACGCAATGATGAAACAATGGCGGTTTCTAACTTTTAATAAAAACGTGTTTTGTAAAATGTTTTATGCATTTCAAACATCGTGCAAAATAAATAAATTAAAGCTGTGCATATTTAGAATGCACATAAAGACTGCTTAGCCACTCAGTGACTCCATGCTTCACGCGATACATCGATCTGTTAATGAATCTCTCAAACTACTGCGTGCTTATTGTTCTGACAGTAAACAGATTGTGTGTGTGCTGGAGTCTCGATAACAAGTAGCAGTGATGTAGTGGAGGTGATGAGCAGCGGAGCTCGTAATGTTTCCCCATCACATGATGCACTCTGCTCTGTAGCAGTGGAGAAAGGGTTCACACTGCGGATTAAAGTGAACCACAGTCACACGGTTTCTCACTCATGTGACTCAGATTTCACTGGGTTTTTCTCTTTATAATTAGTTTAAACTGCAAAAAATAAAAACTGCACCGAGTGACAGTTCTTCAGTTTGGATCTGGGTCACATGTCTTAAAATATGGAGCCAGTCAGTTGACTCGAGGCAGCTTGTCTGGGTGACGTCAGCGTAACGCAATAGTTCACAGATATTACTCAAAGAAGGACGATTCATTTCTGAGATGCTTTAGAAACAGGAAGTCTTAAAAAAAAAATCTTCATTTGAGTAAATGGTATGCAGCCAAATCAAATAGTTTACAGCATATTAAACCTTTGTTTCTTTATAATGCATGTAATACTTAACTTGTTTCTTTACAGGGTTTGTATATAGACAGTAAAGTAGTCCATGAATATGAGATATGAGTTTATAGACAACTATAATCGCTCCTCGTCATTGTGGAGGTTAGTTTTATGGTGTTTTACCGGTTACATCTACAGTCTGTGTTCATATCTATGAGTTACACTCGCTGACTCTTCACAGTTCATTTTGTTTGCTCGCCCTCTGGAGCTTAAGGCTGTGACTAGTGATCAGTTTCATCATGGGTCAATAGGACATTTCTTTTCTCAGTTTATCGATTTATCATTTTGTGAATAAAATGTCGGAGAATAGAGAACATGCCCACCACAGCGTCCCACAGCTGAGGGTGACCTTATCTGTTTTCATAAAACATTGAGAGGCTTAAAACAAGAACACACATGACCAAATGAGCTGCCTGCTAATGTTCTATCAATCGACTAATTGCTTTATTAACTTATTGTTTTGCTGTAGAATAAAGCCGGACATGAGTGAGCGATGTGTGAACGCAGCCGGGAAAAAGAGGATGAAAAGAAAATGAGTGACAGCCGAGCCATGAGAAAGAGACGACGGATGAAAAGCTGCTGAGGTTTTTGCACACTTGCTAAAAAAGCTCTTTTGTTCTCTTCATTGTTGTTGAGACAGCTCAGATTTCCTCTCAGACCAGAACTACAAAATCCTAAACATCACTGGGACGCACGCACGCACACGCCCACGCACGCACGCGCACGCGCACACGCACACGCACACGCACACACACACACACACACACACACACACACACACACCCCTTCAGGGGGAAACGCTGTGTGAAGCTGGTTAAAACAGGGATCATTGAAGGCACCGTTTTAACACGACTTAACAGCTGTTAGCTGCTAATAAGGTTACGTTTTTGAATGTTCAACTGTTTACTAAATATAATAAGTTAACATTCATAATCACTGTCAAAGGGAGTTTTAGATGTGATTAAATCTAAATTATCAGATAAACATTTTTTCTTGTTTTGTCCCAAAATGTTGTAACAATAATAACTCGTGAATAATCGCCCAGCCTGTGGCATCATCTCCACATTTTAACAATAATTTAGCTTTTCAGAAACTAATGTCACTGGTTTAAAGACATATTAATAATAATACATTTTATTTGTATAGCGCTTTAAAAAAGGTACTCAAAGACACTTTACATGATAAAAACAGAAACAATAGAAGTAATTACGATATAAACAAGATAGATGACATCACAGAGAGGAACAGCAGACTAACTTCACAGGTTAAAAGCACATTTAAATAGAAGATAGATTCTACTTTCAACCTCTCTCCATTTGCACTCTGTGAACCCTGCTGTCCTCTAACGTGAACTTTCACACGTTATCTACGCTTCTGCAACAATGTTAGACGTCCTCCTGCAGCCAGTGTTTCAAGGTGACGGAATAAAAACATGAAAGAGTTTTACAGCCTGCATTAGCCTGATGGATGGAGAGATAGAGAGATAGAGAGATAGAGAGCGGGTTTACTGGTCAAATGCATTTATGCAACACTGAGATAACCTTTGTTCCAAATAGCGGCTGCTTATCTGTCAGAGGACTTGTCGGTGAAGTACACAAACTAACCACAGCTCAGACTTAGCTGCTATCCAGAAAGCATGTGCTGGTTTTAAACAAGTAAGTATTTCACATCTAAAAAGGAATTTTTCTCTGTATTTTGATGCACACCAGTCAGAAACAGAAAAAATAAAGACTATAAAAAGGAAAAGAGTGCAGCAATGTTTAAACAAAGAGGATGTTCAATCATCTCTCTGAACTTATTTCTAGCAGCATATGAGAGTTACAGAGTCTGTAGCTGTTTGGACCCAGAGTCTGCAGACAGAAAGGTCTCACTCAAGGACAGAAACCAGCTGATCACGAGCTGTGTGTGGTTACAGTCAGACACACTCCTACAGGTGGCTCTCTAACCACCGGGCTTCACTTCAAAGTGTCAATTATAAACCGAGGCCTCTTCTGTGAGTCTTTATGTGTGTGGATTAGCTGTGAAGCCGGCTCAGACCAACGCTGGTGTACTAGCATTGAGAGTGAGGGGAGAGAGAAGGAGGGGAGGAACCAAGGAAACCATCCGAGGAGACGTTGAAACCAGCGTCCTCTGTGACCACGGCGGCTTCGCCTTGTGCAAAGTTTTATGGACACGGTGTAGTTTTTGTGTGTGGCTTGTGGTTCTCTGCACACACTCCCTCACATGACACATGAGACACACACACACACACACACACACACACACACACACACACACACACACCTAATAATTGTTACTGCGATATGATTCATTTAGTAACTGGAAGCTGCAACTTCACACATTTGCAGCTTTAAATGTCATAAACGGTCATAAAAATCTTAACAACTGCAACTTCTTTTGAATGCAGAACAGAATTGATGTGTACACACAATGTAAGAACTCCGGTGGGGAGTTACCCGTTCTGTTAAACTCATTCATGCTCGCAGGAAAAAGCTGGACGTTTCCCACCTAACGTTCCTGCTCGAGGGAGAGGAAGTCTCACACAAAGACTGTTAGCCGTGATGTTTTCTGTTCTGGCTCTACTGGACCGGACGTTATGGGGAGTTAAATATGACACGATGTGAGATAAACCACGTAGCGATGCCTTTATCTTTCAGCTCACATTTAGTCTCATCTGCTCTCCATCAACTCCAACTCTCATCCTCTCCAGCCTAAAATAATTCTCCTCATATCTTTCTTCCTCCCACTCACTTTTCTGTATTAATCCCGTCTTCTGTCCATCTATTGCCCTCTTGTCTCCTCTCCTCTACTGTCTAATCCTTCCTCCCTTTTGGCTTCTCTCGCCTACTTTCCTCTCCTTGAGTCTTATTTCACTTATTACCAGTATCTTCCATAGAGAGAGAGAGACATCTGGCTCTGGTTAATGTCTCACTGCGGCCCATACGAACCCAAACAGTCCTGCTTTTGCTGAGACAAGCCAGCTGACAGCAGGAAAAATTCACAGAGCGACTACGGCAAGCAGAAGGGGACATGTAGGACATCCTAAGATGAAGAGTTATCTCTCAATCTGGGCGAGCTGTAATCGCTGGTAATTTGGTAAAAATCCAGAGTTTGTTTGGTAATATTAGGGCTGTACTCTGCTAATGAAATTCCACTAACACTCATCAGATTTACGACTCATACGACGATACAAAGATCCGTAAAACTGAGTTTCTCCACAAAGAATCACACAAAAGCACCACCTTTAAATCTTGTGTGTACCAGAAATGAGCTCATTCAGCATTAAAAAAAGCTGAGCGACTAAAACAAAGAGCCGAGACCAAAACAACCTGATCAACTTAGAGGGAGCAGCCCTGATGAATATGATTGTTAAATGACCTGATATGTGGATCTGTGGTTCAAAGACTACGTGGGTCGACCATAAATCAAAATCGATCTCATCAATAAGCTGTATTGTTGGTTCCACGTGCCTCCACTACAGCAGGATAATAATGTTAAAGTTGGAGCCACAACGGGGAACATTTTGTTAAATATTTAGTGCTTTTTAGTCTTATCTGCTGTTCCACACACACAGCAGTGTGCAGTATTTTAAGACCTAGAATAGAGATTGTTGATTGATAGAGAGCTTTTCTGAAATGTCATACCGTCATGTGTTTTCAAACTCAGGCTGACGAGTAGAGAAAAGCTAAAGACTCTGAATCGGTCTTATCTTGGAGCTCCACACTCAGAGGTCAGAGGTCGCCTCTCCTATCTCCCCCTCTGTGGCCGACAGACGGGGAGGCACAGAGTCATAAATCAATCTCACCCCGGCTCTCGCCCGCTGTGATTCAGACGACACAATACAGGGATCCCACGCATTATTCTCTGGAAAACTCTGGGTTGTTTTCCCAATCACCCACACCAATGACTGTTGAAGATTAAGCAACGATTGGGACACCATGATAAGGCATTATGGGGATTGTACCCAACAAGAATTGGTAATCAGTGCAGTCTCTGGCCAAAAAAACATGAATTAGTATTTCGTACGCCGGTGGGACAAAATTAATTGTTTCGTTTTTAAAATGTCACAAATTGGTGAAAAGTGCTGATCACAATTTCCCAGAATTCAAGATGGCGTCTTCATTCAAATGGACTTCCTGCGGTGTGGATGCTCAGTGAGACAATGGTGAGTTTCTGTTGGACATAATGGAGTGTTGTTCCTCCTGAGTGAATAGCAGGAGATGAAGAAAAGAACAACAGAGAAACACAAAAAAACCCTCCGAGCGTGTTTTTCCAGTGTATCAAAAGTTAAGGAAGTGGTAAAAGCTTGTTTGAATTTGTAGCCACACGTGTTAGCATGCTAATCACTACTTACTGGGGTGCTAACGTGCTAATTTGCTTTATTGTTCCCCTCTTAATGTCAACATGGTCACACACAACAGGTGTAAGAATTTAGCTCAATGTACGTCTGAGTCAAAGACAAAATATTTTATTATCTGTTGAGTATTTTGACAGTTAATCAATGATCTTTTGGCCTGTAAAAAGTCAGAAAATAAAGGAAAAATTACCACGACAGTCACAGAAATTGATATTGAAACAACTTGTTTTGTTGCTCAATTTTCTGTTGACATTTTTTAACCATCTAAAAACTTTATTTTTCTGCTGTGTCATGAGAATTAGAGATTTGTTTTGAGCGTTGTTTGGCTGCAGGACTGCAGACTTTTAGCCGTGTTGCACCCACAATGAGCTCCATTTCACTGTAATACAAGCGGTAAAAGAGTCAACAAATGTGCTCATGCAGCTTCTTGTCACTGAATCCGCATTAATAAACATTAATAGTTAATGACGCCGCTCCAGAGGGCAAAGTCTCAGTGATCCTGTATCAAGAGTTGCCACTTGGCAGATGTTGTTATCTTGTGTTGTTGTAGCATTGCATTGAATTGTTGCAAACCTTAGGGAACATTATATGCAGGGTAATTTGCATTAAGTCAATATGTTATGCTTGTTAGATGCTGGTGAGTTTGCAGAGACAAGTGGAAATGATTAATGCTTGTATCACTGTATATAAAATCAATATGGAACTAGAAACTACAGGATTTAAATGACTTAGCTTGCATTTTGTTTGTATTCAGTTTAATATCCAGTGTTGATTCAGCTTCATGTACTTTTGGAGACTGCATGCCAGTTTATTAAAATCCTGTTACACCAATCCAGATTCTGCATCTTTAAACCAACTTATTAATCACAGGACTCCTTTTTCAGAAGGTTTGCCTGTTGTGTATTTCTATATAAGTGGCAAAGGGCCAAAATATAGTATGTTTTATTCAAATATTAATAAACGTACTATCCCTTCCCTGCTGCTCTATAATCCACCTGAACTTACTGGCCCACTAAAGTGTAACTGCATGATTATGACAGTATTTATAATAAAGTTTCTAGATATGAACAAAAAGGGGGGATGTTGTGAAACATCAAAATAGGAACTTTCTCAGTGTCCTTCATGGAAATAAGGAGGAAGTAGCTCCTGCAAAACTTCCCACTTCTCTCCTGCTGCTGCATTTTATATTTCATGTATTTTGTAATAAAAAATGTATTTACTGTACCTCCCAGCGGCCATAGGTCATGAAGAACAGGGTGAAGGGGATGGCCGTGCCGGACATGGCGTGTGTGGACGGCATGCTGTACTCGGAGTTGTAGAACATCTCCACTTTGACCACCGGCGGCGAGGCGGGCCGGGACCACCCGATGATATCCTTGGTGCACTGGCCCAGGTACATGACCCAGACCCAGACCATGATCAGCCTCCTGCCCACGAAGGCGTCCACGTTCCACGTGACGAACGGGAAGAAGGTGATGTAGAACAGCTCGTTGCCCAGCTCGGTTCCGAAGGTGAACATGTAGTACAGGAACCGGTTCTGGATGAGGAACTCCTGCCCAACATCGCCCGTTAGAGAGTTTTTGCGGCGGGGTTTCACTGTGCTGCTCCCTGGGGGACAGATAAGATAAGATAAGATAAGATAAGATAAGATAATCCTTTATTAGTGGGGACATTTACAGGATTACAGCAGCATAGTGGATAGAGCAAAAAAGAGACAGTAAAAAAACAAGATCAAAAATAAGTAATAAAACAGTAAAGAATATTAAATAAGTAAAAAATCCACAATAACTAAAATATTAAATATACAGACATAATTTTCAATATTATATGTGTTACAATAAATGTGTTATTATCGAACCTGTCCCCCGAGTGATTGAATTATAGACATTGGTTGCTTCGCGTTTAGCAAACAACATGCAGGACTGTGCAGGAAAGAGCTCACAGGCACCACTACGCATGTCACTGTGGAGCTGCTTTTACTTGTGTTCATTAGCGTAGCAATCCAGACATCGGGTCCCAGTGGTAACGACACCGCAGTAGCATCATCACAACCATTTTAGCCACCTTCTACTTGCAAGCGTGAGGCGCCAGAGGCACGTTGCGCTAGCTGCTAAGCTAGCTACCTGCAGCTTACCTGATGACGAACCTGTCACATCCAGCTGCACGCTTCAGCCGACACCACCGCCTCTCGAGAGCGCTATTTGGGTTGTGCAGGACGGGTCGGGGTGGGGGGGTGGGGGGCGAAATGGTCTTCGAATGAGACTCCTCACTTTTTCTTTTGC